TTTTTTCTAGAGTGAATCTGTTAGCATGGAAATGATACTGAGTATCATGAAAAAGAAGATTCTCAAAAGTTGCTGTCATCATTTTAATATACCAACTAGTTTTCCTTATTATTGATTATGATTCTTTTCTGGGGCAGTCCAGAGACATTGTTCTTTTCTGTTGGGAAATAATGTTAGCACCAATGTGTTAAGCGACTGCAATAAAGTTTCATGTCTGTGTTTCCTTGTGATTAAATAGGAGTTGGAAAGGAGATGTACTACTTTCAGCAAAGGAAGGGTTATTTCTAGAGGTGACTTTTTTTTTTTTTTTAAACTGGAAGACTTTGAAACTGATGCAGTCTCCTCACTTTGTTGATGAGGAAACTGAAGCCAGTGCCAGAACTCTGGCCTCAGTTTCTAGCTGAATGTTTTTTCTCTACATATTTGCTTCCCACCCAGGAATCTTTAAAGCCTGATGATTTCTTTTCTTTCTTCTTTTATTTTTTTTAAGCTCTCCCACTGTTCTTTTCCTTCCTGTATATGATACACCTCTCCTCAAATAAAGTCATAATGTAAATATTAAAACAATACCTGGGAAGCAGTCCATGCTGTTCTTTCAGTGGATTATTTCCTCTGATGAGAGAAAGTTTTAAAGAACAAACTTTTATTCACAGCTTTAGAGGAGGGAGAATAAATTGTATATTTACATTAGTGTCCCCCCTTACAACATTTACTTCAAAAAGATCTTTAAATTATGAAATGTACATGTTCAAGTGATACAGGGTGAGAAATACTGCCTTTTGTGTTATTCTGAGCAAAATAATGTAAAGCTTCTTACTACATAATTTTCCTAACCTGTTAAATTTAAGATCACTTAAAGTATTTATGAGCAGAGTGCAGAAAATATTTGGAGGAGAATTTGTAAAATTTTAATTTTTTTACTGGGAGAAAATCTGAATACATAAGTTTTTGCTATTCCAGTTTGTTAAAAAAAAAGGTATTTTCCCCAAAACGGTGGTCTTCATGTCTGTTTCATGTGAGTTTTGTTTCTCTAAATACTTTGCTGGACTATAGCTGACTCAAAAAAAGAAAATATTTGCAAATACTTGTTTTTAAAACAGAAAGGCAATTTTAATAGAAAGCTGAAAATTTGTGCTAATCTGTTCCACAAAATTCCCACAATTTTACTTCATTATTCCGGGAGGAATGTGTTCAGAAGATACTTAAAAGAAAGTTTTAGGAGTTCTTACAACTGAAATATTTTGAAGAGAACAATTGTTGTTAAGCCAGAGCATTTTTTCCCCCCTCCAGATAAGAAAATGGATGGGAACCG